GTCGCTACCACCGAACCAGGTTCCGTAAACCGAATTGTTACCTGGATGGACCCTATCATAGCATATCTCGAAACCGGAACTCAACCACAGGATCCCAAAGAAGCACGAACTTTACGAATTCGTGCAGCTCGGTTCACTCTGGACAATGGAACGCTTTATAAAAGAGGATACTCAGTCCCTTTATTAAAGTGTATACCGGAGCAAGAATCACTCTTTGTGCTGCAAGAAATCCACGATGGAGTCTGTGGAAGTCATTCAGGATCTCAAGCGTTAGCATACAAAATTTTGAGACAAGAGTACTACTGGCCAACTCTGAAAAGAGATGCTGCGTATTGGGTCAGAAGATGCGTCAAGTGTCAAATATTCGCACCCAACGTCAACTTAACTCCAGAACCACTCAGGTCGGTATTCAGTCCGTGGCCATTCGCAAAATGGGGGATCGACCTAATTGGACCCCTACCAACTGGAAAGGGAGGAGTTAAGTATGCAGTTGTTGCAGTCGACTACTTCACTAAATGGGCCGAAGCAGAACCATTAGTCACGATCACTGAACAGAAAATGATCGAATTCATATGGAAAGTGTTAATATGTCGGTTCGGTGTTCCAAATTCTATCGTGACTGATAATGGCAAACAATTTGAAGGCAAAAGGCTCGCAGAATTTTGTGAAGAATACAGAATCAAGCACTTCTTCTCGTCTCCATATCACCCACAGGCGAACGGTCAAGTCGAAGCTGTGAACAAGATCATAAAAAATGGTCTTAAAGTTCGATTAGACAATGCGAAAGGAGCTTGGCCTGAAGAACTCCCCAACGTTCTTTGGTCATACCGAACTATTGCTCGATCCTCAACCGGTGAAACTCCTTTTTCATTAGCTTATGGGTCAGAAGAAATGATTCCAGTCGAACTCGGATCCCCAACATACCGCGTGCAGAATTTTGAAGAGGAACACAATCAAGTTAACATGAGAGCCAATCTTGACCTGGTAGATGAACTACGTGCTCAGGCCGACCTAAAAAATGCTGCCTATAAACGAAGAAGCGAAAAGTATGTTAACTCCAAACTCCGCCTTTGAATATTTAAAGTCGGTGAACTCGTACTCAAACGAATTGTAGGCCCCGACCCTGGACCACTAAAGCCGAAGTGGGAAGGTCCATTCCGAATAAGCGAAGTTCTAACCAATGGGGCATACCAGATAGAGTACTTAGACGGGACACCACATCGGTACTCGTGGAATGCACAATATCTGAAAAAGTTCTACCAATAAAATAGACCAAACGTCTTAAGTCGGCTTTTCAGTCGACGTTCTGTAAAAAAGACCAAGCGTCTTAAGTCGGCTTTTCAGTCGACGTTCTGTAAAAAAGACCAAGCGTCTTAAGTCGGCTTTTCAGTCGACGTTCTGTAAAAAAGACCAAACGTCTTAAGTCGGTTTTTCAACTGACGTTCTGTAAAAAAGACCAAACGTCTTAAGTCGGCTTTTCAGTCGACGTTCTGTAAGAAAGACCAAGTGTCTTAAGTTGGTTTTCAACTGACGTTCTGTAAAAAAGACCAAGTGTCTTAAGTCGGCTTTTCAGTTGACGTTCTGTAAAAAAGACCAAGTGTCTTAAGTCGGCTTTTCAGTTGACGTTCTGTAAAAAAGACCAAGTGTCTTAAGTCGGCTTTTCAGTTGACATTCTATAAAAACGACCAAGTATTTTAAGTCGGTTTCTCAACTAACTGCAAAAAGATCGAGTATTTTACGTTGGTTTTCTCAAACTTACGTACTTTAAAGGCGGGCTCAAAAGCCTTTAAGTATTTAAACTCGTCTTTCGAATCAACCTTTTACTTTAAGTACTCAAAGTCAGTTTTTTCAAACTGAAAGTACTTTAAGTCGGGAAATGATTTAAGTAAATTTAAGACAGATGTAACCAACATGACTCAAGGTTACTGACGAATACAACAATGTGCGGGGAAACAAACAGATCGTTGGAAGGAAAAATATTTATTTCATTTCAGAAAAGGCATGTCCATACAAACTGAAAAGAAAATGCAAAAAGATGTGCCAACATAATGGTCCACACCCGAAAAGGAAAATGCTGAAAGCAATAAAATTCAAAGACATCTAATCCTTAACACCATCATCTACTTCTCGACTTCGCCATCCTTCTCGGTCACAACCTCGGTATCACCTGGGGCCTGCTCAACCTCGGCTTGAAGATCTCCCGCTTCTTTGCCAACCTCAACTTCTGGGACGTCCATATCCTTCGGGATCTCTTCATCATCTTCTGGAATCACGGAGCTATCTTTAACCACCTGACTTAACCCGGAATAGATCGCAGCATGCATGGCCTGAGGATTGGGAATGATCCTAACTTTAGCAGCATTGTGGTCGCCGATCCCCTACACCAACTCGGTTCCCTCGAGGTTCTCTTTGGCTGCGGTAGCAATGAACTTCTCCGCATACTCCACTACTTCCTTCTTAATCTGATCTGGGGTCAGCACTTCAAGATACTTCTCAACAGTAAAGTCAGCAAGGGTGGAGATGAACACATCGGCAAATTCTGCCCTCTTCTCTTTCTCTCCTTCCAGGACCATGTTGACATAGGCTTTTCGCAGAGCAGCTCGTCTGTTGGGGTCCAAAGGAGGATATCCACGAGCCACCACATCGGCGTCGGTGTTCGCCAATACCAACTCGCAATAAGCTCGTTCATCTTCGTCAGCAGGGACATGAAGTTCTTCGATCTCTGGATCGAACCCAAACCTATCCATCTTCATGAGCATGATGGCCTTCAGGTCTCCAACACCATACAGTCCTGAGTCGAATCTGTCGATCACCCAACGGAGATTTAAGCAAGAGTTAAGCTCGATGTCCTTCTCCATCTCCTCCGAACCCTTGAACTCTTGCTTCCCGAGTTCCTTGCCTTCTTCCAGTCCCTGCGTGAACTTAAGCTCTCCAAAAGCTTCCTTCTGTTGCTCCAATTTCTTCAACTCGGAAGCATGTGCTTCCGCCAAACGAATCAGTTGTGCTTCCTTCTCAGCTCGGTCTTGAGTTGATTTTATTTGGTTAAATTCTTAAGGTGTTTTTATTTTGGGGGCTTCCATCTAGGTGGCTGGATGATTGGAGATGTGGTCAGTTTCTCCTTCAGCGAATCAAACGCCTTTTTGCAATCTTCGTCCACCTGGAATTCCACATCTTTTTGCAGCAATGAGCACAAAGGGGCAGCTGCCTTCGAGAAATCCTTGATGAATCGGCGATAAAATCCTGCATGGCCAAGAAAAGAACGCACTTCCCGCACACTCGCGGGGTAAGGCAAAGCAGTAATAATATCGACTTTAGACTTATCAACTTCAATACCTCGCTTAGAAACAATATGTCCCAAAACAATACCCTGTTCGACCATGAAATGACACTTTTCCCAATTAAGAACAAGATTCGTTTCAATACATCGTTTCAAAATTAAAGCAAGGTTCTCGAGGCCCGAATTAAATGACTCACCATAGACACTAAAATCATCCATAAATACCTCTATTATATTGCCGACGTACTCCGAAAAGATGCTCACCATGCACCTTTGAAACGTGGCAGGCGCATTACATAGTCCGAATGGCATGCGTCTGTAAGCGAATGTCCCGAACGGACACGTAAATGTGGTCTTCTCCTAATCCTCGGGTGCAATGGGGATCTGAAAATAACCTGAATAGCCATCTAGGAAGCAATAGTAAGAGTAACCTGCCAATCTCTCCAACATCTGATCAATAAAAGGTAATGGAAAATGATCTTTGCGAGTCATCGCGTTTAACTTACGATAGTCGATGCAGACCCTCCACCTGGTCTGTACACGAGTGGGAACCAACTCACCTACCTGGTTCTCGATCACAGTCACACCCAACTTCGTTGGAACCACTTGCGTCGGGCTCACCCACCGGCTATCCGAGATCGGATAAATGACTCCAACGTCCAGCAATTTGATAATTTCATTCTTCACCACCTCCATCATAGGAGGATTCAGCCGTCGCTGTGCCTCTCGAGATGGTTTAGCGTCTTCCTCGAGAAGGATACGGTGCATGCAAATGGACGGGCTTATCCCACGCAAATCGGCAATGGTCCATGTTGATATCAAGATAGAATATCTTGAAATTATGATTAGATTAAAGAAATCGTGAAGTTTAACCCGTAAACTGGATCTTGGACGATGTCAAGCAGAATATATGGCACCTCGGTAATCTCATCTCGGTACTTGTGAATGATACCACAAATCTTCGAAAGTCGTCAACACACGTCGTTTAAACCTTGAAAAGACCAACTCGGTTGAAGAATAATTTATCAGGAAGTCGTAGAATGACTGAAAGACTATCAAAATACCGACATCGCAAGACGAACCGACTTCAATCCGACAGATGTGACACTCGTCACACAGATAGAGGCACGCCCATACTAATCATTACCTAAAAAGTTCATCTACGTCATCGCCGCCCCTAAGATGTCAAATCTTCATTAAAACGGAAATGATTTGTTTAGGGATGTGTGCCAAGCATAACTATAAATAGCAGCTTCGAAAACGATACGAGGATTCGGCAAAAATCATAAACACTCATATATTCACCTCCGTTATTTCACTGTTTACCGACTTGATATACATTGAAAAACCGACTTCCCAGAACTGTAACCGACTTCAAAATCTTCAATAAAAATCTCATTTTCTACAATCTTTGTGTTAATTTTTACATTGTTTATGTTGATTAAATCCGTTTATCAACAGTCCATCCGATTGCTCGTTTGTAATTCTTCAATACTTCAATAAGGGCCGCCTCCTGGTCAGGTTCCAACTTCGATGACACTATCACTGGGAGTGTTCGATCATTTCCCAAATAAGCATACTTCAAGTGGCTCGGTAAGGACTTCAGTTCAAGCTCCGGTGCCTGCAAAGTAGAAGGAAGAATTTTCTTATCAGGCTCAGATAACCGAATAAAATTTTTATCATGCTTTCCAATATATGGTTTTAGTGTATTCAAGGCTGTTACGGCCTCATCAACAAGCTCCAGCTGGTAACAAAATTCGGTTTGGTTGCTATCTCTCTGCAGTCCGAGTATGGGGTCGCCCTGTATTCCTGGGCAGGTACCCCGTACTGCTTGATTTTTGTCCAAACCTTGTGAAATCACAAACTCCAGCTCATCTTCCATGTAAGTGTCGAGGAACTCTTGTGGCAATGGTTCAATACAGTCAAGTAAATAAACACAATGGTCAGAGTCAGGAAATTTCATGGCATCAAAAATATTAAAACAAATAACATTGCCATCGAACTCCATTGTGAGAGTGCCTTCACGAACGTCGATTTTCGTTTGAGCGGTGTTCAAGAACGGCCGCCCTAACAAAATCGGGGTCGATATAGGAGTCCTGTCATTCATACTCAACACATAAAAGTCAGCGGGAAAAATAAGCTCATTAACTTTAACGAGAACATCTTCAATTACCCCATCCGGAAAAGTAGTACTTCGGTCGGCAAGTTGAATTACCACCCGAGTTTCTTTAAGATGACCCAAATTTAAGGAATCAAAAATAGAGCGAGGCATAACATTAATTGATGCTCCCAAATCGAGCATGGCTCGCTCGATTTTTAAATTCCCTATTGTGCATGGAATCGAGAACATACCTGGGTCGCTTCTCTTTTGGGGTAAATCCTTCTGAAAAATTGCCGAGACATTCTCTCCCATCAGAACCTTCTCATTCCCTTGCAGCCTTCGCTTGTTGGTGCATAGATCCTTCAAAAATTTTGCGTATCGAGGGACTTGATTGATTGCATCAATGAGAGGAATATTGATCTCGACTTTTTTGAACACATCAAGAACCTGCTTCTCAACGTCTTCCTTTGCTGCCTTCCGCACCCTGGATGGAAATGGTAGAGGTTCGGGTTTCAGTGGAGGGCTAATCGGACCGCCCATACGTCTTTCATTCTCAGCAGACTGAGTACAGGGTGTCCCCGTATTCTGCTGCTCGGCCCCATATTCTGCTGACAGGCCCTCTTTTTCACTTCCATTCTTCTCGTTTTGAGTCTTTGGGGCTTCTAATTCTTTCCCACTCCGCAAGGTGATGGCACTGACATTTTTAGGGTTCAACTCAGATTGAAATGGAAGTCGGCCCGCGAGTTGTGCATCTAGTCGGCTCATATGCTCCGCCATTTGACTCATTTGGCCTTCTAAGTTTTTGATGCTCACTCCTTGGCTCTTGATATTCAATCCCTGATTCTGGATGTTCATCTCCTGATTTTTTATGCTCTCTTGAACACCCTGCTGAAAGGTCATGGAGCTAGTTGCAAGCGTCTTGATCATCTCTTCTAGGGAAGATTGTGGCATGGAGTTCGGTTGACCAGTACCCGCTTGTCGTGGAAAATTTTGACCTCTTTGAAAAATTTGGGGTGGCCGATTGTCTTTCTCCGCATACACTCCCCCTGACGGATTTCCATATCGAAGGTTGGGGTGATCTCTCCAACCGGGTCATAGTTTAGGCCCGCCCCGTTGTTGGACCCTATCGCGTTTGCTTGTGCCTCCACCTCGCCATTGATTAGAGGGCAATTGTCCGTAACGTGATCAGTCGTCTCGCAACGCATGCAAGGTTGCACCCTCGGAAAACCTTCTGTGGCCAATTTCCGGACAAAAGACGTTAACTCTTTAACTTGAGACTCCAAAGCGCCAATACCAGCCTCATTAACCGACTGAAAAGATGCTTCTCGAGTGCCAAATTGCTGGGAGTTCGCTGCCATGTTTGCTATCAGATCCCTTGCGGCCGTTGGTGTCTTGTCCATAAGAGTACCTCCACTTGCCGCATCGAGCATGTTTGATAGGTCGAAAAATGTGCATGTTTTATATATTTATAGTGTATTTTTATACGCTCAGTTTATTCGCACGTTTATATTTTTTGACTTATTTATTATTTAGATGGATTTATTTGTTTTTATATTTTTATGGTTTATTTTCAGCATATTTAATTATTTTTGCAGGTGACCAATACTAGAGAATAAAGAGCCACAATGGATTATGTGGGTTCGGATATTAGATCATTATTGAAGGCTTAATTAACTAACAACAAAATTAGGTTCAAGCTAATTGGGCCCAGGAAGAATTTGTAGCCCAATTTAAATTTGAAGTTATGTTATGGCCATAGAGACACGTGAACAGATGGGAGAATTGGATATTTGGCATGGAATTATTTGTGAAGAAAGAAATAAAGGGGCATTACGGGCGCAGCCATTATACATACCGGGGGAGAATAAAAATTCACACCACTGACGAAAAGAAAAGGAGAAAAAAACGCCGCGGACAAGAAGAAGAGAACAGACGAGAGGAAAAATGAGAGGGAGCCCGACGAATTGCGGAGGGAGACCGCAAACGCACACGAAAGAGGATAATTCTATTCTCTTTCTTTTATTTTTATTTATTATGTTAGAGTAGTTTTTATTTCTAGTTCCGAGGAAGTCGAACCTTACGATTGACTATGTTTTGATTGATTTTTATGGTTGATGATTTTAATATCTTTTTAGAATTGTTTGTGTTATTTTGAATAATTCACCATGATGTGTTAGTCTTGTTTAGATTGATCACCTAGATTAGGCTTTTCATATCTACATCTGAGTTAGACCTGCAATCCGTAATTGTTGTTGTGTTTAATTCATAAGAGGTAACCGGAAGATGGTAACTACCGGGGATAACACGGCCTATTTAAGTGGACGAACGCGGTTGAGTTCACTACTTAGTCTAGCCTATTTTTCTAATTCGTAAAGCGGCTAATTGTATTAAATCTTGAAAAGGATTGTACAAGAAGTCAGGTTTAATCGTAGAGCGTCTCGCGGTTAAACTAAAAATAAGGAAAAATTCGGGTAACTGACCGTGTCGTTGCCTAGGGCTAGTAGTTTCATAAGATAGCGAGATTTGATACCAGAATTGATTAGAATAGTCAGTCGAGGGTGTAGACGGAACCGTGAACTAGAAACTTCTCTTTATTTATTCTATTTTATTTTTATTTCCTTTGTTTATTAGGATTTTTAATAAGTTTAGTTTTTAAACCAATCCCCCCCCCCCATTTATCGCTTTTAATAATTTCAATTAATACGATAGAATTCACGATTTGATTCACACTCCTCGTGGGATCGACCCTTACTCGCCACTACTACTAGTTAGTAGAGGTTAGTCGAGGAAAATATAAATTATAATTTTGCCGCGTTGCGACGCGCGGTCAAATTTTGGCGCCGTTGCCGGGGAGTGGCGTTATTGAGTTATGATTTTTGAGTACTAATTGAGTTTTATTTTTATTTTTCTTAGGATTTTATCTTTATCATCTTTTACCCCTCTCTTTCTTTGTTTTTTTTTGTTTTCTTGCAGAATACTGGGAGACCCCGTACTCTGCTGGACAGATTAGTTCGCCCTCATACTCTTGGGAGTAACTTGAGTTTTGGCATTTTTGATCGAGCTTAGCGCAACTCTTCGAGATGGCAGCCTATTATCACGACTTTTATGCCCACCAGACACCTTACCAGTATGAGAGGGAAATACGAGGCCCGTGGATTGGAGATCGAGGCGTTAGAGGACCCAGTGGTTGGCGAAGAAACGAGCAAGACTACATGTATCCCGAGGAGAACGAGTACGGCTTGAGAGAGCACTCAAACTCTTTCCATGGGTACTCTGAGCCACCAATTGCGCGATTTCCCAGCCCATCGCTAGAGGATATAGTGAAGGCAGTAGAGGCTCACACGTTGAGATTTCTGCAAGAACACTGCGAGCCATTAGTTGAGAGAGATCCTGGTCCGTCGCTCGAGGAGATGATGAAGGAGTTGACGGCTAACACTCTTAACTTTCAGCAAAGTGTTGAGGCGAGCATCAGGAACCAAGAGGCGAGCATCGAGAACCATGGACTGCGCATCCAAAATTTGCAAGGCCAAATTGGCCAATTGGTGGAACAAATGGACCGACTAGTGTATCGGTTGAAAACGAGTCCAATGAGTTCGAACGTCATCCATTCGTACAGCGAGGACCTCGAGGAACTTGAAGAGTGCACACACGAGCCGGAGAACAAGAAAATCACGAATATCGAGAAGAATGAGAGCGAAAAAGAGAACCAAGCTGCAGAATATGGGGCTGAGCAGCAGAATACGGAGGTACCCCATACTCGACCTGCTGTAGCAAAAAAGCGTACCATTCTTTCCGCTCTTGTGCCGATAGAAGCTGAATCGTGTCCTATATATTCCAATATGAAGTGGGTGTTGAGTAAGGATGCATTGAAGCATGTCTTGAGCCTTAATATCCAGCCTCTTGAGATGATCGAGCAAAACGCAAGGTGTAGATGGGAGTTTGATGAGACGGTGAACGTGATTGAGCATGGGCTGCTGCATATTCATGAGAAATCAGCTCAATTGAGAAAAGATCCGGTGAAGCACCCGACACCAAGGATAGGGGATGCCACCAAACATGGCATGGTGAGATTGGTGCCTCCCTTGAGGCCACCTCCGAAGCCGCCATGGATCTTTTGATGAAAGGGAGCAATAAGTCGGGCCAACGACAATAAAAGGAGGCGCTTGTTGGGAGGCAACCCAATTGTGTGCATGGTTCGACGACTTCCTCTGCATTGACTAAGGTGAACTCGTTTCTTTTACCTCCGTTTGTATTTCTTGTGTGTTTATTTGAGTGTCGATGATATATGCAAACTCTAAGTTTGGGGAGGTGGTTTATTGGTGAGCATTCATGGTTTATTATGTTATTATATTTTTGCCCCTTAGAGTTTGAGTCTTAGATTGATTGCATGATATTTGCTTGTCATGTGTGAGCATGAGATTACATGTACGTGGAATTTTGCAATGATGACATGAGAGTCGGTTTGGATTTATTGTGCTAGTTTAAATGGCTTGAGTTGATTTTATTTGGTTAAATTCTTAAGGTGTTTTTATTTTGGGTACAAAAGCATGATGGTTGATATTTTTGTGATTTATTTGTAGTGAGTTGGTTTTGAGGCGATTTGTATTGTTGAGATGTGCTTGTGATTACTTTAATCAATGTTGATTAAGTTTGGGGACTTGAAGTTGAAAGTTGGGGTTTCTATGTCTCATAGTCGAAAAAGAAAAAAAAAGAGAGTGGAGGATGAGACATTTAGACTTCGGCTAGAAATGGAAGGGAACTTGACTTGTTAGCAAAGAGAGGGGTGTCATTAGTTGCATTGATCAGTGCATTCGTTATAAAGATTGACAAACTATGGTGGTCACTTGAATTGATACTTGATTGTTTGTGTTCTTAGAATGATTTCATCTTGAGTCCGGATAAATTGATTTGAGTTGTTTGAGCTATGCGCTTATGTGAGAATTGTGAGGCCCTGAGTTAATTTCCACGTACTTATTTTCTTGTCCATCTATGTGCTTATAGTTATAAGTTGCTTGGGGACAAGCAACGGTTTAAGTTTGGGGAGATTTGATAGGTCGAAAAATGTGCATGTTTTATATATTTATAGTGTATTTTTATACGCTCAGTTTATTCGCACGTTTATATTTTTTGACTTATTTATTATTTAGATGGATTTATTTGTTTTTATATTTTTATGGTTTATTTTCAGCATATTTAATTATTTTTGCAGGTGACCAATACTAGAGAATAAAGAGCCACAATGGATTATGTGGGTTCGGATATTAGATCATTATTGAAGGCTTAATTAATTAACAACAAAATTAGGTTCAAGCTAATTGGGCCCAGGAAGAATTTGTAGCCCAATTTAAATTTGAAGTTATGTTATGGCCATAGAGACACGTGAACAGATGGGAGAATTGGATATTTGGCATGGAATTATTTGTGAAGAAAGAAATAAAGGGGCATTACGGGCGCAGCCATTATACATACCGGGGGAGAATAAAAATTCACACTACTGACGAAAAGAAAAGGAGAAAAAAACGCCGCGGACCAGAAGAAGAGAACAGACGAGAGGAAAAACGAGAGGGAGCCCGACGAATTGCGGAGGGAGACCGCAAACGCACACGAAGAGGATAATTCTATTCTCTTTCTTTTATTTTTATTTATTATGTTAGAGTAGTTTTTATTTCTAGTTCCGGGGAAGTCGAACCTTACGATTGACTATGTTTTGATTGATTTTTATGGTTGATGATTTTAATATCTTTTTGGAATTGTTTGTGTTATTTTGAATAATTCACCATGATGTGTTAGTCTTGTTTAGATTGATCACCTAGATTAGGCTTTTCATATCTACATCTGAGTTAGACCTGCAATCCGTAATTGTTGTTGTGTTTAATTCATAAGAGGTAACCGGAAGATGGTAACTACCGGGGATAACACGGCCTATTTAAGTGGACGAACGCGGTTGAGTTCACTACTTAGTCTAGCCTATTTTTCTAATTCGTAAAGCGGCTAATTGTATTAAATCTTGAAAAGGACTGTACAGGAAGTCAGGTTTAATCGTAGAGCGTCTCGCGGTTAAACTAAAAATAAAGAAAAATTCGGGTAACTGACCGTGTCGTTGCCTAGGGCTAGCAATTTCATAAGATAGCGAGATTTGATACCAGAATTGATTAGACGAGTCAGTCGAGGGTGTAGACGGAACCGTGAACTAGAAACTTCTCTT